AACTAGAAACCTAGAACTCACCTTGGAATTGACCCATCACTATCAGTCCCAGAATCTAAGCCATCACCAAATCCTGTTAATTTTATCTACGAGATGCTTCTCCTCCCCACTTATACCTCTTGAATTCTGGCTTTCATGTCCCCAGTGATTATTCCTCACTGGTCTCCCTGTCTGTAGCCTGTCTAACCTCTCCCTGCCAACTTTAATCCTATCGATCTACTTGGAAGTCTTCTCTGCTTCCCCCCAAACATGGGACAAAATCTAAATTCCTTAGTTTTAGATTAGCAGTAAACAATCAAGATGCTTAGGCCCAGCCTAACCATACTTCCTGGAACTTTGCCCTTTAGCAAAGTGAATTGCTGGTCATTTCCAGAACGCCCAGTGATTTCTTGCTCCTGCTCCCCTTTCCTGGAATGATGCCCCTATTCCCCTACCTGAAACATCCTTCTTCTTTCTTCAGATCCCAAGCAGGTTGCCTGCTACCCCCATAGGCTTTGCACACACCTGCACTGTAGTATATGTTGAACTTTTTGATCATGGTTTCCAGGTTGATTGCAGACAGCAAGCCTGGGAGTTTCTGGAGGGCTCAAGGGTGAGGATCCTTCAGCTGTGTGCCTCCATGCCTCACCTAGTGCCTCACCTGCAACAGGTGCTCAACAATGTTTGCTGTTGAGTAAAAGTGGAGGGGAGATGACAAAAACTGTGACAGTGGGGCCTCAACAACTCAAGAACTAAGATTAGGTTGGAATTTCTTGGGGAATACCAGAAAGTGGGAGTGGAGAAGGTTTAATGGTCAGTAAATCTAAGATGAATAGAAAATTAGCAGGGCATGGCGGGGCATGCCTGTGGTCCCAGCTACTTGGCAGACTGAGGTAGGAGGATTGCTTGAGCCTAAGATGTCAAGGCTGCAGTGAGCTCTGATCATACCACTTGCACTCTAGCATAGGAGACAAAGCAAAGCCCTGTCTTGAAAACAAAAACAAAAACAAAATAGAGTTGAAATAAAGAGTCTCAGCAAATGTTCAGGCCTAGAAGATCTTAGGACTTATCCAGGAAGGAAGAGACAATTTGGGCAAGGCAGGTGCAGGGAGGCAGAAATCAGGAAACACTGAGCCCAGAAGAGATGTGAAGTAGGCAGGTTAGAGTCAAAAATGTTCCCTGTTGCGCGGCAGGAGGATTCAATCGTCCTTGCTTCAGTGCTTCATTACATGTGTCTCGTATTCAAGTAATAATTAGGTCAAAAGTTTTACAAGTGTCTAGAGGAGTGTTAACTTATACTTTATCTTTGAACAGCTCTCTAGATTCATGTTTGAGGGGCGGGAAATAAAGTTGGTGATGACTTGCGCAGCCTTCATCACGATGAATCCTGGTTATGCAGGCAGAACCGAATTGCCTGATAATTTGAAAGCCCTGTTTAGACCATTTGCCATGATGGTTCCAAATTATGCCTTGATTGCAGAGGTGAGCATCACATTATGAAGCAGCAGAAATGTAAACTTCTTTCTTTTATTTACCATTCAACTCTATCAAAGTAGAAAGTTTCCTTTATGAATGCCCCTAGTAATGGTTATACATTACTAAGTGTGGATGTGATTGTTATGACTTGAAATGTTAAGTTCTGCATGTTTGTTGTTTACTGCTATATCCATAATACCCAGAATGGCATCTGGAATAAAATAGGCCACGAAAACTGGAAAGAATCAATGAATTTAATTAACCAGTTCATTGGGGTTTTTCAGTTCCTCTCTAGGAATTAAAATGTCCGAATTGGTTACAGAAACACAGATTATTTTTATTTCTCTTTGCACATTATTTTTTACTGGAGTCAAGGAATGTTGAGTAGAAGCCTCACGATGATGGTAGGTGAAGATGGTTTATAAGTCTGTATCAACTTAGTTGAAAAATAGTAACCATTAACAAATTAATTCTTTATAATTGTGTTTGTTTTTTCTGTATCTAATTGGGCATCTTTCTATTTAAACTGGGTTTAAATAGCCAAGAATTTAAATGCTAGCCAAAAATTGATGTGTTTAGCCAAGTACAGTGGCTCAGACCTATAATCCCAGCACTTTGGAAGGCCAAAGTGGTAGGATGTCTTGATCCCAGGAGTTAGAGACCAACCTGGGCAATATGGTGGAATCCTCTCTCTACCAAAAATATAAAAATTAGCCAGTCCCATAATGTAGTCACAAAATAAATAAATAAATATTTAATTAGTTAAAAGTAAAATAATTTTTAAAAAAGAATTGATATATTTAAATGTTGTACTTTAAAAAAAAAAAAAAAGAAAGAAAGAAACAGGGTCTCACTATGCTGCCCAGGATGGAACCAAACGAAGCTCAAGCAATCCTCCCACCTCAGCCTCTAAGTAGCTGGGACTACAGGCACATGCCACCCTATCCAGATACATTTTATGCATATTTTTCATGGCACTTTTTATTGAGTTATAAGTTATACACAATAAAGAGCACAGCTCATAAGGGTGCAGCTCAGTGAATTCTTACGCATGTATTCATCTATGTGACCACCAAGACCAAAATATAAGGCATTTTTAGGACTCCAGAAGACCCCTTATATGCTCAGTGCTGCATTTCATAACAAGGGACACTACCCCTTTAGGATGGAATTTCTCAGAAAGCACAGATCACTCCTTTAGCTAATAAATTCCTGTGATAACAGCTAATTTTAAATATTCTTCTATGTGAAATAAAAGTAATTGCTTAAGAATAGAGTAGATTGTGCCAAAGCCTATCATTAGAAAAATTATAGCCTATATTAGTGTATTAGGTCTTTCTTGCATGGTCATAAAGAAATACCTGAGACTGGGTAATTTATTTTTTTAAAAAAAGAGGTTTAATTGGCTCCTGGCTCTGCAGGCTGTACAGAAAGTGTGGTGCTGGCATCTTCTAGACTTCTAGGGTGGCCTTAAGGAGCTTTTACTCATGGTGGAAGGTGAAGCGGGAGCAGACACTGCACATGGCAAAAACAGGAATGAGAGAGAAAGAATGGGTGGGAGGTGCCCCACATTTTTAAATGACCAGATTGCAGGAGAACTCACTCACTATTGCAAAGCAGCACCAAGCCATGGGGGATCAAGGATCCACCCCTATGACCCAAACACCTCCCATCAGCCCCCACCTTCATCACTGGGAATTATAATCCAATGTGAGACTTGGATAGGGATAAACATCCAAACTATATCAATTAGAATAATGCTTACAGCAACTCAGGGGTCCCCCATACCCACTGTTGGCATGGTGGGGTGGGGGGCAGTTAAGGCAGGTAGTATCTTGACCCTCTCTACAAACAGGAACAATAAATGACTTGCTCATTGTCCCAACCTGGTAAGAAAAAAAACAGGCTTAGAGCCCAGTCCAACATGTTGTCCACACCTCATGCTTTGTCCTGTTGTTATATTACTCAGTAATAGATGGGACAAATTTAAAAGTCTAGTCTTCAAGTGCTATTCTTACTATTTTTAGAGTTTAAATGAATTAGATTCTGTCATCAGAATTTTTTTTTTCTTTGAGATGGAGTCTGGCTCTGTCGCCCAGGCTGGAGTACAATGGCACTATCTTGGCTCCTCCTCCCAGGTTCAAGCCATTCTCCTGCCTCAGCCTCCCAAGTAGCTAGGATTATAGGCTCCTTTCACCAAGCCCGGCTAATTTTTTGTATTTTTAGTAGAGACGGTTTCACCACATTGGTCATGCTGGTCTCGAATTCTTGACCTCAAGTAATCCACCCTCCTCGGCCTCCCAAAGTGCTGGGATTACAGGCATGAGCCACTGCACCTGGCCTGTCAGTAAATATTTTTAATCACCTACTGTGTGCAGAGCACTATGCTAGTCAGCAGGGATAGAGCAGAAAACAAAACAGATACCAGTAAGAACTCTGCCTCATTCCAAATTCCGCATCTAAAGCCAACTGCAGTTTTTCAGGCAGATTATAAATAGAAAAAAGGGTCCACAGCCAGCTTCACTGTCAAAGACACTAAGCATCATCTGATTAATGTAACCAAGGATGCAGAAACTTGTAGAAGAAAGGCAGAGGAGAGGCTGACAATCTGCATGGCTTCCCTTGACTCCTAGGAAAACTAAGGGAGCTGGTGGCAATCACTGTCCACTAGGGTGGCGCTCCTGTCAGATCAGAGAAGCTCATTCTTGCTTTTGTACTTGGGCCGAATAACATCATCAAACTTTCATGATGGGAACATTTTCAAAGACTGGGCTCTTCTGCTCCTTGAACCAATTGTCCCCAAAGCTACATCTTCATCTGTAGAAGGAAAACAGAATTAGTGCCTAGGTATACCCCATACAATATTCTGCCTTCCAGTTTCCTGGGGCACAGAAAGCTTTTTTCCCTTCAATCTGTATGTTTCTTTATTAAATGACATAACAACTTGGGAAGGTATAATACTTAAAGTCAATTTTGAATATGTTGGTATCATGCAGATACATTGATATCAATTCAATATAATAAGCATTGCATGATTTTTTCTATTCTAGGTAATTCTATATTCAGAAGGATTTGAATCCAGTAAAACATTAGCAAGAAAAATGACTCAGATGTATAAACTTTGCAGTGAGCAGCTGTCTCAGCAAGATCACTATGACTTTGGCATGAGAGCGGTGAAGTCTGTCCTGGTCATGGCTGGGTAAGAAACCAAAGTAGTCAGGAGTGAAATCCCCAACCATGGGATCAAACACATTAAATGGGTAACTAGGAAAGGCTCTCAGAGAGATGCCTGGCACACAGCAAGTGATTAATAAATGTTGGCTGCTGCTGTTGTCATCATTCTTACCTTGACACTCCCATGACAAAGTTACACAGGTTCTCTCTCCTCATCCCATGACAGTTCTTCACTGTGAATCCTCACATGGTTATCCTCAACAGAAACTGATCCCCAACTAGGCTTTGGATAACATTCACTTCCCCTGAACTCAAATTCAGACGTTAGGTTTTTGTGTACAAAAGCCTTTACCACCATAAGTTGGTATGACTGGACTTAAAAGTCACACCGTCTGTTATGCATATGCAGCAAGGCCAATCATACATGTTGCCTGAGAAAGCCTCAGGAGTGTAAAGAAACTTCATCATTTCAATTCAGTTCAGCTTATGTCTTAGATTTCACCTTTGTCTTTGTAATGGGGTCCAAGCCTAAGCTTCTTTCTAGTGTCTAGTAAAGAAAGAATCTTTCCTCTTTCAAGCCCCAACTTTTCTCTTTATAACTTCTTCAAACTACTATATCTGGAATCCCCCAACTTATTCAGAGCCTCCGAGATGACCTATTTTCTCTCTAGTCCTTCCTCTCAGGCCCTGACTCATTGGCTCAGATTCTGCACATCCAGGAACCCTCTGCCTGGCTCCTGTATCACTGGGTTCTGCACAAATCTCCCTGCAGTTTCCTACTCTCTGTTCTTTTAACCTCTCAGATATAATATGTCCCCTCTTTACAGGATGGCTATTTAAGGACTAGGAATACTAAGAAGTTTGGATAACACTTGCACTGAAGGAGCACAACCACAGTCCAGTGGGTCATAGAGACAGACCAGTGTGCAGTCATGTAGGCTGCAATGCAGGGAGGGCAACAACAGGGCCGCACCCACCCGAGGTTCACGGAGAAGGATAGAGGACAGGAGCTTTCTAGAGAAGGGAGTCACTAGGCTGGGTTTTGAGGGGGAAATAAGAGCAGGCAAAGAACAAGGCAAGATATTCTGGGCAGAGAGAAAAGAAAATCACAGGAATAGGAATCATCATGGTGTATTCAGGGAGCTATAAATTCAGGTTGAATGAAATGGGGATTGGGGAGTGTGTTGAGAAGATGTCCTTGTCATTCTCCTTAAGGCTGCGTAGCCATTGCAGGCTTTGTCAGTGTGCTCTGTTGGAGATGAACGCTGAGCGCACAAGGGAAAGTGATCCTCTCCTTCTAGCAGGAATCCTCAGCGGAAGGGCTCTGCCCTCCCCACAGGTTTAGAAAATCACATTCAACCTTATGTTCTTGTAATATTATCTGAAGTATTCCTTTGAATTTAGATCTTTAAAAAGAGAAAACCCAAACCTAAATGAAGATGTGGTGTTGATAAGAGCTTTACGAGACTCCAATTTGCCAAAATTTCTCACAGATGATGCTCTTCTGTTCAGGTAAGTTTCTGGACATTACCAAGTAAAGCATGGCTATCATGTAGAAGCAAATGGTAGTCTTATCTTCAATTATTTCTTTCTCTAACAAGCTGAAAACTTTCTCATCTTTTCTGGAGAAACTTATTTTGCGGTTTAAGAAATACTCTTAAAGATATTAAAGTTTGGGCATAATTTCAATCATTTATGTTTTTTAATCAAAATATTAATCACCGGACTATGTGCTATACAAATTAGCATTTGGCCATAAGTTCCTGATGTAAGAGAAGTTTCTGACTCACAAAAAGTCAGACCTGGGTCTTAACATAAATATGATTGCTTTTATCCATTTTGTTGTTTGTTATTTAATTTTAGATTTCTCCAAGTTATACATGTATATAGTACATGTAAAAAGAAAATAGATTCATAAATTGGTCTCATGGAAAGCAACAGTCCCCAGCCTTTCACCAACTCCCACTTTCCAAAAACAATCATTTTCCAACTCTTTAATTTAGTTTTGTTATCCCCCTCCAAAGTTCTTAACACCACATTTATGCCATTTTTTTTTTTTTACTTATTTCAGTAGTTGCCCTAGATTTTGCAAGACACATTTACAACTAATCTAAGCCCACTTTCAATTAACACTATACCATTTCGCGGGAAATGTGAGTACCTTGTAATAACAATCCATTCCTCCCTTCTATTCTAATTCCTCCCTTCCATCCCTTGTGACATTGCTGTCATTCATTTTACTTATACATGAGCATACAAAAGCATATATATTATATACACATAGGCATACATAATTAAATACATTGTTGCTATTACTATTTTGAACAAACTGTTATCTGTTAAATCAATTAAGAATAATAAAAAGGTTTATTTTTGTTTTTTTGCTTTGTTTTTTTGAGATGGAATCTCCCTCTGTCACCCAGTCTGGAGTGCAGTGGCATGATCTCGGCTCACTGCAACCTCCACCTCCCTGGTTCAAGCAATTCCCCTGCCTCAGCCTCCTCAGTAGCTGGGATTTCAGGCGAATGCCACTACGCCCAGCTAATTTTTTTTGTGTGTGTATTTTTAGTAGAAACGGGTTTTCACCATATTGGCCAAACTGGCCTTGAACTCCTGACCTCAGGCAATCTGCCCCCTTCGGCCTCCCAAAGTGCTGGGATTACAGGTGTGAGCCACAACACCCAGTCAAGAAAAATGAAAGTTTTTATTTTACCTTCAATCATTCCTTCTTCTGTGCCCTTCTTTTAGGTAGATCAGAGTTTCTGACCTATGTCATTTTCCTCCTCTCTAAATAACTTCTTGTAATATTTCTTACAAGGCAAGACTACTGGCAACAAATTTTCTCGATATTTATTTGTCTGCGAAAGTCTTTATTTTTCCTTCACTTTTGCAGGATAATTTCACAGAGTACAGAATTCTAGGTTGATTCGGGTTTTCTCATATGTTTCACTCCATTGTCCTCTTGCTTGCGTAGTTTTCTGAGAAGTCAAGTGTAATTCTTATCTTTGCTTCTCTATAGGTAAAGTGGGATTTTCTTTCCATCTGGCTTCTTTCTATATTTTTCTTTATCTTTAATTTTCTATGGTTTTAAAATGACATGCCTCAGTATAATTTTTTGATATTTATCCTGCTTCGTGTTTTCTGAGTTTCTTAGATCTAAGGTTTGGTGTGTGACATTAATTAGGGGAAATTCTGTCATTATTCTTTCAAATATTTCTTCTGGGACACAGGGAGGAGAACATCATACACTGGAGTCTGTTGTGGGGAACTAGGGGAGGGACAGTGGGGCATAGGGAGTTGAGGAGGGATAACATGGGGAGAAATGCCAGATATAGGTGACAGGGATGGAGGCAGCAAACCACATTGCCATGTATGTACCTATGCAACAATACTGCATGTTCTTCACATGTACCCCAGAACCTAAAGTGCAATAATATATATATATATATATATATATATATATATGTGTGTGTATATATATATATATGTGTGTATATATATATATACAAATATTTCTTCTGTTCCTTTCTCCCGCTCTTACCTTCTGGTATTCCCATTGCACACATGGTACTCCTTTTGTAGCTGTGCCGTGGTTCTTGGGTATTATGTTGCTTTTCCAGTCTTTATTCTCTTTTCAGTTTCAGAGGTTTCTATTGAGGCATCCTCAAGCTCCGAGATACTTTCCTCAGCTGTGTCCAATCTACTAGTAAGTCTATCAAAGGCATTCTTCATCTCTGTTATAGTGTGCTGATTTTTTATAATGCATTTCTTTTTGCTTCTTTCTTTGGCTTTCCATATCTCTGCTTACATTGCCCAGCTGCTTCGGCATGCTGTTCATTTTATCCATTAGAGCCTTTCACATATTAATCATTGTTGTTCTAAATCCCTGTCCGATACTTTCAATATCCCTCCCATGTCTGGTTGTACTGCTTGCTCTGTCTCTTCAGATTGTATTTTTTGCCTTTTAGTATGCCTCACAATTTTTTCTTGATAGCTGGACATGATGCAGTGGTTAAAAGAAGCTAGGACAAAGGTAAATTGGCCCTAAGTAATGTTGTGGTATGGTGCAGCAGGAGGGAGAATGCTCTATTGTCCTAGGATTAGGACTCAGTCTTTTAATGAGCATATGCCTTTGAACTGTAAGCTTCAAAAGTGTTTCTCAGTTTTTTCTCCCCCTGTTAGGTGATACAGGGTGGCAGAGTACCCTAGAGTTGGGTTTTTCCTTCTCCCAATGAAAGGCCAGAGCCAGCTGGAGTTGATATTTCCCTTCCCCCAGGTCTGTTAGGCTCTGACGAAACTCTAGCAGGTAAGGCTCAGTCAACTCTCCTGGCTTCTTCTTAGGAAGAGCAGAGTGCTCCTGCCTATTTCAGAATTGTTTCTTTTCCCCTCCCCTGCCAGAAGCATGAGGGGATTTCTTTCTTTCTTTTTTTCTCAAATGTGATTTTTTTTTTCATTTCCAACTTTTAAGTTCAGGGATACATGTGCAGAATGTGCAGGTTTGTTACATAGGTAAATGTGTGCCATGGTGGGTTGCTGCACAGATCATCACATCACCTAGGTTTTCAGTCCAGAATCCACTAGCTATTCTTCCTGACCCTCTCTCTCCTCCCACTCCCCACCCTCCAACAGGCTCTTGTGTGTGTGATTCCCCACCATGTGTCCATGTGTTCTCATCATTTAGTTCCCACTTGTGAGAGCATACAGTATTTGGTTTTCTGTTCCTGCATTAATTTGCTAAGGAAAATTGCCTCCAGCTCCATCCACGTTTCTGCAAAGCTTATAATCTCATTCCTTTTTACAGCTCCATACTATTCCATGGTGCATATGTATCACATTTTCTTTTTTTTTTTTTTTTTTTGAGACAGATTCTTGCTCTGGCAACAGACTGGAGTGCAGTGGTGTGACCTCGGCTCACCGCAACCTCCACCTCCCGGGTTTATGCAATTCTCCTGCCTCAGCCTCCCGAGTAGCTGGGACTGCAGGTGCATGCCACCACACCCAGCTAATTTTTTTTAATTTATTTTTAGTAGAGATGGGGTTTCACCGTGTTGGCCAGGATGGTCTCCATCTCTTGACCTTGTGATCCACCCATCTCGGCCTCCCAAAGTTCTGGGATTACAGGCGTGAGCCACCACACCCAGACTATACCACATTTTCTTTATCCAGTCTACCATTGGTGGGCTTTTAGGTGGGTTACATGTCTTTGCTATTTTGAATAATGCTACAATGAACATACATATGCAAGTGTCTTTATAATAGAATGACTTCTATTTCTTTAGGTATATACGCAGTAATGGAATTGCTGGGTCAAATGGTAGTTCTGTTTTTAGCTCTTAAGGGAATCACCAAACTGCTTTCCACAATGGTTGAACTAATTCACAC